TACATATATATATATATATATCAATAAAGAGAGTGTGAGGGCACAATAGGCTAGGAAGAGCAGCTATGAAAGCAAGATTTGTGCGAGTCATAGCCTTTATGATTATAAGTGAGTCATTATTTATATATTCATTTATTTAATATTGTTGTTGTTGTTATCATTGTTCTTCATATTATTATAGGAAAATATGGACATTAATACTTACTCGCAATTATATTTTTTCTTTCTATTTTCTCTTTTTCCTTCACTTATCTTTGACTCTAAGGTTATTAAAAAATTTATCAAACAAATATAGCAATAAAATCATTCTTTTACATAGATGATCAAATCTAGTGGCAAAACAAATAGGATATAACAATCTCTTTGAGGCATAGGATTTGCCCATGTAGATCAAATGATAAAAGGCCTAGAAACCTCAAAACACGCTCTTGTTAAATATTCCTACTTCTAATGTTTATAAAAACAGTTAATTACAAACTCTTTGCAGGTTCATTGCAAATAAGTTTGTGACTACTACTCATCTTTAGAGAGCAATTTTTCATGTTTCCTAGTTCTTTCAAGAGTTACAAAGAATTCTATTTTTTTTTCAAATTCATATATTACTTAATATTATAAACTCTCTCAACATATTAGAATTGTCACAAAAAATATCTACCCTATAGTTCCTAAAAATTTTATATGTGCCCTTTCGCCTTTCACTTTTAGGATTAACGACTTTAAAGAAACAATTTGAGCCAAGGTTGGAGGACTGCATAATAAACATAGAGAAGAAGTATTGTTATGAAGCACGGGATGATTGCTTTTGAATGTAATTCAATATATTATTTACTAAGATTATGACATGGATTATCATTTTTATATCAGCTTTCCCAAAGTTGCATTTTAAGCTTTTTTCTAATCTTTTTTGAATGAAAAGCGTTATTCGCGATAATTCTAATTAAATAAAAGAAATTATATGTGAAATGGTGACGAAGGCCCCTTGGAGAAAAGAAAATTCAATAATTACACAAAATTAAGATAATGCTCCAAATGATTTCAGGAAACTCATAAAATAAACCAAAGTGATTATATTGTACTAAGGAACTTTACAATCAATTTTTTAATTTTGAAACAAACATGATTTCTCACAATCCAAATGTCCGGCTTATAATCATTATTAGTCATCAAGTGCCAGTTCTCAATTATCTTGCAACTTTTTTATAGTGTTATCATTTTGATTAACCTATTATTAAAAATATTATCTATGGGTCCTGTATTTTAGAAAGTGATGAATAATTATGGTTAAATGGTATTGTAGCCATTTACATATGCTAAAGGGTTCATATCACCTTCGACAATTGAGGATTCAAACATTACTTTGAGGAGTTAATTACAAGAAGCATGGAGTTTCACAGTCACAAATCCAACTTGGAAGCCCAATTATAGAATAGATAGCAAAATCTAACCCATCATGGTAGCCTAAAATCACATCAAACAAAAACATCTTCTCTAAGGCAGCACTGGGCAAATCCCATAATTCTAAACAAAGGTATACCTTAGTAGTGACTGCATCAACCAATCCAACAACAACAACTAGCCTTTATCCCAATAAGTGGGGTTGGCTACATCAGCTAATCCAACAATAAAAAAAAAATTAAAAAGAAAAAAGATAGTAGCTCATTAGCATTTGAAAAATGTATGTCTATATAACATGTGTATAGAAGTAAAAGCTAGAGAACTGTGAAATCAGCAAGATCAACGCAAGAATTTTAAAGCGGGCAAAAACTTCATTAGAAGGGCAAAGAAACTAACTTATGTTTTTCAATTGAATTTTGAAGGTGAGCAACCATCACAGGATATTGAACTACAGTTTTCTGCATTTTACAAGAAAAATTAGATCCATCAAGAGCTTAGAACATTACAGTTTTCTGCATCTCACAAGAAAAATTAGATCGCAACAATAGCTTAGAACATTACAAAGTTGGATTTATAATATTATGAGTACTTGCTAAAAATATACATTCAACTTGCAAGTCTAAAGAAAAATTAGTATGAATGGAGATACCCGAAGTTCTCCCAAAACATCTTCAACCTCTTTTAGAGTGCACCGTTTAGAATTCTGAGGATCAAACAATGTATTTAAACCTTTTCTCAGCCAAGCTGCACCTTTTAACAACATTTGAACCAAATTGGAACCTGCAAACACACTTGGGAGAGAGCGTACATCTTCAAGTAAGTTATCAACGTCCTACACAAAGAAATCACAGTTCTACATCAGAAAAACACACCTGCATTTGAATATGTAATTTAATATAGGGTGATATTACTCATGGGTTCCTAAAATTTCAGGGATAACTTTTTATTGATCTACCACCTTGTACCATCGTAATGCAAAAACTACCAGTTTTGGTAGGCACACGTTTCCATTGATGAAACTAAATTTTCAATTAAATTCTGTTTCAAAAGCCTTTTGTTTACAGAAATTTTTTTCAGTTTAACTGATGAAAATAATGTGAATCGAAACAGCCAAGCTATGCTCTGAGTTCCCCATACAGAAACTCACGTTGAAAGTAAGGTTATCAACGTGGAAAGCTTGTGAAAAACCCATGGTGTTGTCATGTGGCATAATTTTGCAAACCACAAGGTGGTGAACAAGCTAAGTTTGCACCAATCATGTGGCTGCTAACACTCCAAGCTCACACCAAATGCAAGGCCGACAACCAAACAAGATTAAGCAAATCAAAGGGTAAAGCAAACCAGAGGTCGCCTCAGCAATCTTGCATGGCGATTGTCCCAGCGTGAATTCAACCAAGGATCACTCATTTAGCAAGCCTATGCCAAGGTCGCCTGGCAAACTGCCTTGCATTTAATGATACGATTGGAGGTATCATCTGTTATAACAGAAAATTTAAATAAATGAATAAAAATCAAATCAGAAATGTGGGATAACCGTCGCTACGTTTAGGCTTAAGGTCGTGCAATCTGGAGTCAATCATTCGTTTTACAAATAGGGAGATCAAGAGCAACAAAAAAACAGTGCGAATGAGACATATCTTAGTTGAGCAAAGAAGAAAAAGGAAGGAAACTACTCGCGAGTTTCTCCTACCTCAGATTCATCAGAGAGCCCTAGTCAAAAGAGGAAACAACCCCTAGCCCTAGCCAAAAGAGGAAACGACATCGTGCCCCTAGCCACGTGAAGGAAAGGAGGCGGTGAGCAACTTTGTGCGTCAAGAAAAATGACGGAATGCCGTATGACATAAAAATTATG